CTCTGTCCCACAGAGTCCCTATGAGTGGAAAATCCACCTGACAGTACACAAGGAGGTTTGGAGTCAGGCTTAAAACTCCAGCCCTCAGGAGTCCTCAGCCCCTGGGCCTGCATGGGAACCCAGGTTCACACCTCCCTCACCTGGAGACCGCACGTACTCGGGACCCCTAAACACCCCAGGTAAGGGTATCCACACTGCTCCCGGCAGGGAAGCAGAGGCAAGCACTTCTTCCCAAATAACAAGGTGAGGCAGCGACCAATGTGGTGTGTGTCCACTCCCCGACCGCTTTGGTGACGACACACACTCACCAGACCCCCCCCCCCGAAGACCAGACACCCCTCTGCTCACCCCCATCTTTCTCTATCCCTCCAGGAAGGAATCCTTCGCCGCAGACAGCGAAGTCAGGCAGCAATTTTTAAATGAAAAGGACTTTTATTTTGGTGGAGAGTGAGGCGGGAGGTGGGTAAGGGGCGTGACACTTTTTCTTTGGGGTGTGGGGGGGTGACATGCGGTAGCTTCTGCATTGGGCGGTTCATGCACCCAGGGTGGGCGTGGGGAAGGCTTGGGGGAGGGCTCAATACGACCCCTCCCTCCCTGCCCTAGGGGTGGGCTGAGAAGACCCGCCGTTAGCACCAGAGTTGGACGATTTGCAGACCTCCCCTCCCCAGTTTCCGGACCCCCACCCCCATCCCTGAGAGCGCCCCCTTGCCATTCCACCCCCCACACTACGACAGGCCAGGGCCGCCCCGCCCACGTTTGAGTGAGAGAAACTTATTGCTGTGAGTGTGTTGGGAAGGGGGAGCTGCTGAGCTCAGGGAGAGCCCCCCCATTCATTCTTCCCCAGTTGCCCCGCCCCCTGCCCCGTGTCCGTGCGTTTCCGGAGCGCAGGAGGGGCGCGACATGCGTGTGGGGGCGCGTCATGCAGCGCATGCGTGTAGTTGCGGGCACCCTGGCGGCCAGGGGGAAAAGGGGAGCGAGAGACGGGCTGTCTCTGTAGCTCTCTCCCCTCAAGTCCCACAGTTTGTTGACTTGCAGGATGGGAGGGGGACCGAGAATCACCTTTTGGAGAGGTTCGTAATGATGGTTATTTTTTAAAAAGCTGGGTTCGTGTGGTGGGTTGCGAGCAGGGAGGAGACTTTGGGAAGAGGTCCGTACCCTTAGGGAAAGACCCTCGCCTCCCTTTCCCCGCCCCAGTCGGCTCTCGTGAGGGTCTGGGGAGTCTAGGGTTTCTGAAGAAGTTGAACCCTTTGGCAATAGAATCAGCCCCCACATCCCCATACCCTGGTGCCCCTAGCCCTTTGCCCCGCCCCCACCAGAACCCGTCCCACCCCTCACCCCTATTCACCAGGGCTTAGGGTCCGAGGGAAAGATGGGGCGCTCAAAATGCCCCTTGCATAGGAATCACTGCATCAAAAATCGTGCTCAGCGACACCCCCAAACCTCCGGGGCGGGGGTTCCTGAGGCTAGGGGAGCAGAGGGAGGGAGGCTGCTAATTCTGTGGCCCCCCAGCTCCAAATAGGGGTCCCGCTAAGGATTCTGGGACCGATATGATCTCTGGGCTTGGGGGAGGTAGCGAATCCTTGAGCAAGGATGGGAGATAAGGAATGGTGCGCCACCCGCGAGGGGGCGGTCGGGGGATCTGTTGGGTGGGGGTCACCGTCTCCCAGCCTTCTGACGTGCACGCGCCCTTCGGTTCCAGTACGGTCTGTACGCCCCTTGGTGGCTTGAAGCGGAAAACGCTTCGAACCTAAGTCAACGGCGACCCAGGCCAGCGCCACGTCCGGACTTCCCGGCTTGCGCGCGAAATCTGCCATTTCCAAAATACGCGTTCGCCTGGCACCGCGTGGCACGAGTGCGCCCCCTGGGAGGTCACCTGCGGACCGCTTCGGGGCAGGGGGTCTTGGGGGCGCTGGGACGGCACAGGAAAGGGGGTGCCCTTTGAGAATCTGGCTCCCCGGAATTGCAGACAGGCTAGCCCGTCTTCAATATCCTTCAGCATCCGGAGAACCTAAGGTGGATGGGTCTGATGATAGGGTTTGAAGGGTGTCCATGAGGGGGGCCAGGCCTGAGCATTTGGGGGTATCAGACTTTGGGAAATGTCAGAGTTGGGGGAAGGACTTGGGGCGTCCCCGGAAGCGGAAGATGAGGTGGAGGTCTGAGCCGAATGGGGATGTCTGAGTGCTGCTGCTTGGGGGCGTGTGGTATTTGGGGCGCGGAGAGGTTAAGCCCCAGGCGCGCCTGGGACCTCGAGTGGAAGTTTCGAGGTGCCAGAGCCACGGCTCAGGAATTCCGAGGTGCAAGCCTCATGTCCTGGGAATCTAGGGGGTTGGAGAATATTGTGTGCTTGGGCCAAATCCGCCCCAGGAATTCTGGGGTGCGAGGTCTGATTCCATGCAGCCGAGACAAACAGACCGTGGACGGGGAGTGAGGGGGCGACATTCACCTGAGGGACCCTCCGAAAGGCCAGGGGGGCACCTGTCCGCAGCCCACCCCGCGCCTCCCACTCCAACTGCTCAGCTCAGCTCCTCGGTTTGGTTGGGGGACACTATCCCTCCTTCCTCCACATTGTTCCCAGGTGTTCTTTTCCAAATCAACACCTGCTGGGTTTCTCCTACTGGGGTGAAGGGTGGGAGGTCCCAGCCCCTCCCGAGCGCCCCTGCCCTCGAACGCGTGGCATGCAGCCCCTGGCGGCTTATTGCTGTGGTGGAGGGCGGGTCGGGGCTTAGGGAGGCATGCAGTGTTGGGGGGAGAGGTGCCCCAAGATGTAACTGGCGTCATTTGGACTTATTTACACTAGTTGATGGGAGGGAGGGGGTGTCTATGGCTCATGGAGACCTGAGAAGGCTTTATTTTGGGGGTGGGGCAGAGCTGGGGGGACGGACTCTGGCCCCTCCCCCTCCATCCTGGGGACCCAGGTGGGAGGTGAGGGGTCCGGGGGTGTCTGCTGGCGTCGTCGTCTCGGTTGCATATTATTAATGACTTTAAAAAAAAAAAAATGTGCCTTATCACAAAAAAGCCATGTTTAAGTTTTTCCTGCACTACATCTTTAAAAAAAAAAAAAAAAAACCTTTTCCCCACCCCCCACCCTCAGCTCCGTTGACCTTCTTCTCCGTCACCCCACCCCCGAGTCCCCCCACAGGGGGGAGGGGAGCGCTACAGGATGGAGGGCAGGGTTGGGGGAGCGCGGCGGGCGGCCCGGGGAGAGCCAGGGGGCGTGGCAAGGGGCGCAAGGCGGAGGGACACCCCACTCAGGCCCGCGATGCTGCTCAGGCTGCGGGATTTCTCGTAACCTGGGGGGGGGGGGCACAGGGCGGGGAGCAGAGACAGAGAGGACGCGTGCAGGGGGAGGGTCCGACGGACAGGGAGAGACCCCCAGACAGAGGGCGGGAGAGACAGAGACAGGGACAGAGACAGGCGAGAGAGAAAAATGGAGGAGCGGGCACGGGGCGAGAGAGGGTAACAGGGAGACAGCGACAGAGAAGCGGAGACAGACAGACGGACCAAGGAGATGGAGAGAGAGAAGTAGACAAAGTCGAGAATCAGTCGGCATCGACGAGCAAGGTTGAGACATCGGGGAGGGGAGAGACTCCGGGTTAGGAGACACGGTGGCGGCCACCAGCCTCCCCCCCTCCCACCGCAGCCCACCCTCCTGGCCCCCCATCTGAGGCAAAGGTGGGGACAGCAAGGCTGGAATGGTGGGTGCATGGACAGGAAGCTCCGGGTGCTGGGGAGGGGCTCGGGGGGATGCACTAGGGGAGCAGCCGTGGAGAGTGCTTGGGGAACTGGGGTGCAGTCTGGGGGGCTAGGCCAGGTGTAAGGGAGAGAAGGAAGGTGGGTATGGGATGCATGGGGGGTCTTGATGGAGCAAAAGTTGGCAATGGCCTTAGGAGGTCATTGTGAACATGGGGGGGTCTGAGTGGGCAAGGCGTATCCAGAAGGTTCGAAGGAGGTATCTTAAAGGGTCCAAGAAGGCCTGGGTTCTAATGGGCGGCCCAAGGCCCAATCAGCGTCTTGACGGACTGTTTGGGGTCTTGAAAATTTGAGTGTCTCAAGGGCTCTGAGGATGTCTGGAGGGTTTCTATGGCTTTCCTGAAGAGTGTGCCCGAGCGCCCCCGAGAGGGCCTGGGGCTATTTGGAGCCCAGGCTCTTGGGGATACCCCCTCCCAGCCATTCCCAGTTGCTAACCTGGGGGGAAGGGGCAGGGGGGGCCCGAGGGTCTCACGAGGTCTCAGGCGGTGACAAGAGCTGGGGACAGAAATACACAGAGTCACGGAGGGAGAGAAGGGGGTTGGGGGACCCCCAGAACAGCGTCATTACTGAGGGGAACGGAGAACCGCGGACCTCGTCCTCCTCACTGGTGTTTTCCGCGGAGCGGGAAGCAGTGAAATGGGGGGCGGCCAGAGACATCAAATATGGAGGGAGCTTC